TGTTATGAAATAATGAATTATGCCTTGATTGTAAAACTGTAAATATCTATTTTCAATCTCTGTTTTCTATTTAATGTTTCATTCTATAATTCCTAAGTGCCAAAAATAGTAAGGAGAGCTACTCTGGTAAGTTAATAGAAATATATAAATAAAACTCCTAAATGAAAGCTGATACAGGTTGAGTATACCTTTTCCAAAATGCTTGGACCCAAGTTTCAGATTTTGGATTTTTTTAGATTTTGGGGTATTTGCATTAAATGCTCTAAAGAGCATTTCCTTTGAGTGTCATGTGAGTTGCTCAAAAAGTTTTGGATTTTGGAGCATTTCAAATTTCAGATTTTTGGATTTGGGATGCTCAACCTGTATACCTTGAATCAGCAGCTCAGACTTTTTACAATCTTGAAAATTAATGAGGACCTCGAAGAGTATTTTATGTAGGTTATAGCCATCAAATTACGATATTACAAGTCAAAACTGGAAACTCTGAAAATATTAGGTAATCCAAAAATAATAATAACCCATAATATGTTAACCCATAATAAAAAACCAATAACCCATAATAAATATTTTTATAAAAATAATATTTTCAAAGATAAAAATATTACTGAGAAAAGCGTCTCTGTTTTACCTTTTTTTTTTCCAAATCTCTTTAATGTCTGGCTTAATATAAGGGAATTAGATATCTGGATCCACATTCCATCTGTTACAATGTGTTGTTTTGGTTGAAGTACGTGAAGAAAATGTAGCCTCACACAGATACATAGTTAGAAAAGGGAATCTTTCAATAGCCTTTCCAGATAACTGTGAATTTTCCTATGTTCCATATCAAAACAATAAGTGATATCTTAAAAGTTAGTTAAACATGGAATCTATAACCACATCAATGACCTTTTCATACTGCATTACATTAAATCCACTGATCTATCTTGTACTTTGAAATGATCTTTTATCCATATGTGATTTTGTAATTATATGAATTGGTCATTTGGAAAATACAAGTAATGCAGGTCTACCAAATACTGACACATTTCATTAAACTAAAAAATACATCTGTTAATATCAACATCAATGTTATCAGAAAAGGCTTTATATATTGGGAAGCTATCAAGCTTAAAGTGATGAATACAAGTTTTCCAAAATTCTACTTTTTATTTAAAAGCTTTAATTTTATTATTGGCAACAAATACTGTCAGCTGTTTCCTTGAAGTAACGGGCCCACTTCTTTCATTTTTTTTTCAAGAAAATATCTGCCAAATGCCTAAGTCTAAAAAATTATGGTTCATAAATTTTTCTTTCCATTAAAAATAGTATGATATGAAAAAAGTATCTAGTTCAGCTCACAATTCAAACAATTACACAAGTGCTTTCCTCGAAGCAATCGTCACATTTTAATATGCTGCAGAAATGCTTTAGCATACTTCCCATTTTGTCCCCTAGGATATTAAAAAGACAGGGACTCAAATGTTGAGATTTTAATGTTTACTGTACCATCATGGACATTGTAAAGTGAAACTGGCTTTTTTTTTTTAATACTGAGTGCATGGTGGGAAATAACTCAATGAATAACTACTAGTATACTTTGATACCACTGCCTTAATTCATGCTAAGATTCCAGCAGTTTTATCCACCAGTACTTCTGTATCAGAAATACAAATGTCAACACAGTGAAAAGGCAAATACTAATAACATGCTGGTGTTATATGAAGATACTTTTGACATTATGGACCCCTTAATGAAAGAGTCTGAGATGCCAGCATTCTTCAGGACATTGTTTTGAGAACCACCGGCTTAGGTAATTCAAGAAATGTAGAAACATCACAGAACAGGAAATATTTTATTGTGCTTCTTAAAAAGGAAATTCATATCTTCCTGCTATTCAAAATGCCATAGTTCAGACTCAGGAACATTCTAAAATAACTATATGCAATGAAAAAATGGAACCAAGCCTCTAAAAAATGTTAAATTTGGTCAGGTACTTAATCCCAACAAAGAAAAGAAAACAAACATTTTACATAGCAAAGAGCTCAAATATTTTCTATTTAGGTCAAAACTGCTTAGGATTAGATTATACACATTGCATATTATCAGCGTCTTACCTTAGCTCTAGAAGACCTGATATTTTCCATATTTTCAATGCTGCAAATACAATTCTGTGAAACTTTCCGGCAAGCCACTCTGATATAGTCCCAAAAGGTACGAGGACTTTCGTAACCAAACCAGCTTACTTGACCTTCAGGAGACAAATTGTAATACAAAATTTTTTTAAAAAGTAAAAGAAAACTAGACTTGACAATTCAAAATGCAAAAAGAATAAAATTCCATAAAATAAAGGTAACATACTATGCTATAATGGAAAGAGTACTGATGCATGGGTCAAAAAGCCTCAAATCTAGTTCTTTTCTACCTTTTACTACTAATAGTTGTATTACTTTGGAAGACTTAATAGATCTGGATCATAGTTTTCTCAACAATAAAATCAAACTAAATGAAAGAAGAAGGGAATAGACACTAAAACTATATTGCCATTTAACATCCTATCTAACAGTCTTTTAGATAGCACATGGAAAACCTTCCTGTGGTCCTAGTTAAACATTAATTTAAATGTCAGCAGTTGAATTCTAAACCCTTCTCTACTTAGAAAAACAGAAAAAAACCCAAAACTTTTCCTCCTCTTCATAGGGATACTTCAAAAAAGGAAACAATGTGTGATTTATCCTACAAGTAAATAAAATCAATTGGGATCCCATATTCACTGATAATTCGTAATCTTCTACCCAACCATTCTCACCTATAAAGTTCCCCTCTGTCATTCATTTGCTCTCTTCTCGTCACCAACTCATGAAAAACTCTTGAGGTATTTACCACTCCAATTTTTTGTATTTCGGTAACTATGTGTCTGTTTGTGACCAAATGTTCTACTGTGTATACCTTATATTAATGTTAATCTTTCTATGTAGGACTCTGAGTATTAGGTCCATGAAAACCATTTTAAACACTTAGTATTTTTAAATGGGATGTGAGAGACATCTTAATACTTTATTCGATTGTCTGGAATGATTAGTCTTACCTAGGGGCGTTGTTTAATCTTACTGTAGAAAGATTTCCCTGTATATTTAAGTGCTTTTTCATCTTGAATGAATTATTTATTTCAAATCTTTCCTTCCCTAGAAGTAATAACCTCTCTCCAGCAACATTAGAAAATGTTCTTGTCAGCAAGCACCATTTTAGGAGGAATGTCAGAGGTGATATTTGAATGATTTCCAACCACGGCAATACATTAGAAAAATTGGACCGCTTTTTAAAAATAATTATGTCTGGTCTCCCCTCAAACTGAAAAATCAAAATCTTTAGGGTAAGATGTAGGCACTAGCATTTTTTTTAAATGTCTCCCTGGTATTTCTAATAACGTACTTATGGTTAATCGACCAAAAGAAATCCTACAAATCATGATAAGTAACTCTTATTCATCATTTACTTTTAAAGGCCTCCTCTTCCAGCAAACCATGCATGATCTCTATGGTTAGCCCCACCGTTGGCACAGCACCCTGTGCTTACCTATCCTTATAATTATTTCTTTACTTGATCATCTCAAATATTAGGTGATAATACCACTAAGTCAGGGATTGTGTCTTATTTGTCTTTAGATCAACCTCTAACATGTGACTCAGTTTTTGGCTCACAGTATGCACTCAATAAATACTTGTTGAAAAAAAGAATTTGTAAATCAGCACACAACAGATCATCTTAATTGCAATGAACATAAATACTTGAATTTTTAAAAATCCAATTAGTATCTTTTTATAACAATTTTTATGACAGTCTGGTATTAAGGTGTTTGCATGCTACAAATTATCAAATATTTTGGACAAATATATTAACCTTTGTCTATATATAAATAAAACACAAAAACATCTATAAATACTTATCTAAATAACTATATAATTCAATGTCTCTTTAAAAATCAAATCTTACTACCTACAAATAAAAAGCTACAGGAATATTTACAATCTCCCTTGTTCCTCTTAAACTCTTTCCATCACTTTCCTTTGTCCTCTCTCTTCTCTGAATTAAAAAGTTCCTGGTATGATATCTCAAATATAGTTTGTCTCCAGGGAACTTTTCATGTCATCAATTTGTTAGCCATTGGAGGGGAGGCAAGGTGACTGGTAGTTAAGAATATGGGCTCTTGAGTCAGGTGGGCCTAAATTAGATCACTTTCTAACTATGAGATCTTGAACAAATGACTTAAATTCACTCTATAAGTCTGAGCCTCCTCTGTTGAGAATAATAGTAGTAACTACCTGATAGCACTGTTGTGAGAATTAGATGAGATCATGTATATGCAGCAAGTATCAAAGAGCCTAGTACATATTAAGTACTAAATACATGTTAATTGTTCCTACTGTTATCACACAAATGGTTAATGTAACCAAGCTCCCTTCACACTATAAAACAAAGTGTGAATGAGATACACAGTTAAGTTCTTCCCATTACTTGCTGAGAATCTAGAGAAATCTAAAATTTACTCCCTAACCCAACCTTTTCCCTTATCAACCATTCTAAACTCTTCAAAATGTTTCTAACCTCAACTAACTTTCCTTGTCTTCTATTATTTGGTATCATTCTATAATTTCAAAATGAGAGGTACAGCTGCCAGACATTTCTCAAGAAATGGAATGTTGTACACTGGAAGGGATATTAAAGAAAGAGAATATAACAGGGATTCTCTGGTGTCTTTAAATTTCTCTAAAATGGCAGTATGGGAAACACAAGTCAGAGAAATACCCAAGTAAACAGGCAACATTGTATTAGCCAAAGGCAACCACCTACAATGAGAACCCAGATAGGTAACCAAGGAGAAAAGTTAAGCATAGGTTGCCCATGACCAAGAAGAATGTCCTTGGTAAGAAAATATACACTGGTTCAGCACTTTTGCATAGGGGATGATTTGCTTTTCTACAATGCTATTATAAACCTTCTCATTAGTTTCACATTTCTGAGTAAAGTAATTTGTAAGAAGTTTTGAAGTAGTGCTGTTAAAAACCAAAGAATATAACAAAGCCGTGTTTTGGAGGAGAGAAAACAAAGATATAGAAAAACTAAAAATCCAGGCATCGTTTAAACAGAGAAGGCAAGGGCACTAAATCCTTGGGACTTCTGCTGTGGGTGGGCTACACTATCTACAGGAACTTTTACCCAAAAGATAATAACAAGATTTCCCAGATGACAAACTGAGAAACTAAACAAAAATAGGATGGCATATCATAACTTGCAGGGCCTTAAGTAAACCAGTAGTCTCTTCATAACACTTCTATCTGTTCAACAAACTAGATGTGAGGATGACTTGGCTTGATTCTGCCTTCCTTTCTCTTCCATGTGAATTATTTCCAAAATGTAGCTCTTAATTTAAGACACTAAACTTTCCACATTCAGAAGGGCCTGCTTTAAAAGAAGGTAGATTCCCTTGCTAGTACCTACAAACAAAAGCTCTCTTGTAAATTGTATGTATATCCCAGAATTTTATCTAAATAATTTCTGCATCTACAAAATGGGTTTAATTTAATTAAATATATATTAATTGAAGCGTTCAATTGGTGTTTGAGATATTATTATTCAAACATTACTTTTATGTAAACACAGATTAACTGCTTGTAAAAGTCTGTAACCAGTACTCAACAGGGAGATTAAAAAACAAAGTCACAAGCTGATTATGCCTTTAAAAATAAATATTGAAATAATAAATAACCACTCCCAGGATATTTTCCTTTCATTTAAAAACCACAAAAGCAAATCAAATAGGAAGACTAGTCTAAATCTTGGAAAAATTTTATTCCAAAGAAGACATATGCTGTGAATAACAGAATTCTCTTTTTAAAGCTCTCCATGAGTATAGGTATATAATATGCTTTTAATTATAAGTGTAGTTGAAGTTGGCTTTTTACCAATGAAAAAGTTAAATGAACTTTTCAAAACTTACTCCCATCCCATCAATGCAACTGTGATTCATTTTAGCCACAGAAGTAAGTGGTGAAAAGTCTGCTAGACTAAAAGACGAATTGCTACTGACCAGCTCCATGATATCTTTCTCTGCAAAATCCCTC